GGGCACACAGCTATGGGGGGGGCAGCCCCCGGGCGCGCAAGGGTCCCCGCCCCCTGGCGCCCGGAGGGCGAACGGCCACGCCCCCTGGCACCCGGCAACCTCAAATGGTTGGGGACCACTGTTTTAGGGAAAAGGGGGAGTTAGGTTGTATAGCCCCATCCTCTGAGCTCAGAGAAGAGGTTGCAGTTTCATTCTCTACATTTGATCTACAAGAATCATGAGATATCATACAAGGGCTTGAGCTTTCACACAGTATGCAGTCCCACAGAGCCTCTGAAAGTTCTACCAGCGCTCCTCCCCCAAACAAGAATTGCTTCTGTAGAGATCATTAAGCCAGGGCGTATTACCTTTTCTGTCTATGCTCCATGAGCCAAAAGGGAGAACTACAAAGATCGGTGAGTTCATTCACTCAGTTCCCTCAACTCACCTAGAATCCCTTCCCACATGCATCATTGTCTCTGTGGGGCCCCTGATATCAAGGACTGGGCCCAATAATTCACATAAAATGCACCAGCATTCTGCTTTGAATTGACTACTTTTGACATTTTCTGGGCTGGCACAGAGAGCCACTGTGATATCCTCACTACCCGACACATTTTCCTATCTCCCCTCCATAATGGCTTAAATGGGCTTTCCAGACTGGATGAATTTCATTCCTAGTCACTAATTGACAAAATCCAGGTGTTATAATGGTTCCTGGAATTAACAGGAATTTACCCATTTCCCCTGAATAAATATATATGAATTAAAATAATGTAGACTCACAGTAAAACTGTCTAAGACAGGGGAGGAAACAGTGTATTTGCATTAACATATTAATCACACAACAAGATCCTAAGAATTATGTTTCTATCAATAGAATAAATGTATTGGTTACGTTTTTAATATCCAGCCCAACTTTGTTTTCACAAACATACCACAAAGCACATATCTTGTGAAGGAAAGTAATCCAATGTAGCTTGTGAATACAATTAAAATCTAACTCCAACCAATTTCTCTCCTGAGGCAGGAGCTTGAAATGCAATCAATAATGGCACAGGAAAATCCCACAGGAGACAGAGGCTGAAGATTAATTTTCCATCTATTCGAACTCAGCCTACACTTATTGAATTACGTTCTTACTACCACTGACAGTCAGCAAAATATCTCACTTATTTCTCTGAAATAAATCTCCAGACCAATTTCTCCCTGCCTTGTGTAGCTGATACCATCCATTTCACCTTTCAATTCACATTTGTACCAGTTTAGGGCATTAACTTAAAGAAATACAATCTTTCCCCCCATGCATGCACAGTTCAGCACCAGAATAGATGGAAGTGAATGTTGTCACTAAAACATTCAGTTGGGATTCAGGAAACATGGATTCTTCCATAATGCTTCTTTGTGACCTTGGCCAATTTGCTTACTGCTTGACATGAAGCAAATTGGAGACTCCATCCCTATTTCCCCATCTCCACACCATTAGACCCTTAATTTCATGACCAAAAAGCACAGAGACACTCATACATCAGCTGCAAAACTGAACACTGCAACACCTAACTTTTCGACTGAAAAATCATTGGAATTCACAAACCCTGGGTTCAGTGCTGTTACCCTCTCTCCTGAGGTCACCCTGAGTTCGGGTGAGCCGTCGTCCCAAAGGGGAGTATTTGCCTTGTGACTGACAACCTGGCCACGGTCTGAGGCCTATAACTCCGGCACGCTCCGGACCCACTTGGATCCGAGGGGCCGGGAAGGGGGCTCGGGCCCTCCCACTCCCCGAGCCCCGGCCCAGGGCCCTAAGACGGGGACGCCTGTCCCTTGTCAGTGGAGGGGGTCGAGTTCCCCAAACCCTCCACTCGCGGGGTTCGCGGCCCCGCCCTGGGTCTCTTCTTCCCGGCTCAATCCCAGTAGGTTCCCCAGCAAGGGGATAGACTCACCCTGAGTCCCTTCCTCTAGCGGGGGTCTGTGCCCAGGGGTTCCCCTGTGCTACGCTCTCCTGGCAGGGGGCTGGCATCCTCCCATCTCCAGGAGCTCCCCTCTTGTTTGTGGCACCCGCCCTTTTTAATCCCCCGCCCCTCCACCTCCTGGGCTGGCGACCTCCCGGCGTTCTGGGCCCGCCCTTCTTGGCGTCCCGCTTGTCGCCTCCCCTGACATCATCCGGCAGCGCCGGGTA